TCTCTCTCTCTCTCTCTCTCTCTCTCTCTCTCTCTCTCTCTCTCTCTCATATATTCTTTCATTATAATATGCATCTGACGAATGGTGACGGCCTAGATTTGAATCGAAAAAAAAATCATTGAATTCGTAAGGTTTGTCAAAGTCACGACGATTATAATAAACCTCCTCTTAATAGTTTGGTGTCAGTGAACGAATTGAGGATGGGTTTCGTAATAATGCTGATGCGTTACAAGTGGAGACGTGCTACCGTTAGACGTGACTATTTGATTATGCGGATGAGGATTAAGATCTTGCGTCCCATTTGGACTGTATTGTTGTGAGTCAACTATGACGCTGGTGTAACCAGCAGCTGTTGATTGTTCGATATGGTGATGACGATGTTGTTTTACATTGTTACTCGTAGAATTATTAGTTGTATTTCTATGAGTTTGATATGGTGCATCGTGATGTTGCTGAAGACTCGTAGGAGTTGGTACACCATTATAAACGTCGTTGTTATCATAACTACAGTCAGAATACATGATTACACTGCCACCTGTTTCCGTGATCCTAGACGAGGTCGAGTCTGCAAGTTGATGCTGTTGCTGTTGCTGCTGATGATGATGGTGATGATGGTGATGATGGTGATGATGGTGAGGATGAGGATGAGGATGGGGAGGTGGTGGTGGTGGATGATAACCAGTTGGGATAGAATGTAAACCAATTGGACTAGGTAAATGATTATCGATTGTATCGGTGCTACCACAAGAACTCGATGACGTTGAATATGGCCTCCTCTGTTGGTTACTTTGAGGACTGTGTTGTTGTTGTTGTTGTTGCTGTTGTTGTTGCTGTTGAATATTGGCCAATGGTGAGCCATGATGAAGAAGATGAGATTGTTCCTGTTGCGTTTGCGAACGTTTTGGATTATCCTGAGGACTAGTTTGATGCAGTATTTGATGATGATGAGTTTCTTGCTGTTGTGATTGTTGTTGCTGTTGTTGTTGTTGTTGTTGTTGAGATGGTGGTGGTGGTGGTGGTTGTTGTTGTTGTTGCTGTTGTTGTTGCTGTTGTTGCTGCTGTTGTTGTTGCTGTTGTTGTGATGGCGGTGGTGGTGGTGGTGGTTGCTGTTGTTGTGGCTGTGGGGGAGGTACCGTTGCAAGTGGATCGTGATTTATATCTGAGAAAAAAAGGAAAAGAAAAAGAAAAACGTATGAATTATTAATCATTTTATTCATATATATGTATATACACGAATATAACAGTTTACCTCCGTATAGGTGAAAAACTTCGGAATTGTAGTAAGTACCATCTTCGAGCAATGGTCCGTTAACCGGATAAGAAGACGAAAGGAAATGGGTGTAATTAGAACAGGTAATAAATTCTGTACCGGAATAACTAGAACTATCGGTATATTCCGTATCCGGTGATTCCTTGACTCTTCCACGAAAAGATGGCGAACTTGGTATTTGGTTTTCCAATTTGTTTGTATTAGCGCTAATCGTTGGTGTCGACAGGGCAGTACCAGATGGATTATTTGGACCCGTGAAACAAGGTCCCTCGACGCAATTCAACACCAGCCCAATGTTTTCGATCTCGGTTAAAACATAATTCACCGATACGATGCAATGTGGTCTAGAACTTCTGGTATTGTTAACGATCGTAGCATATGACTGCATCCAAACCCATCCGCCTAATTTCGTCAAAAATCTGTAGTACTTCGTTGTAACTTGACCCTTTATTAATACTGCAAAAGAACAAAAAAAAAACAAGAACAGAAAAAAAAAAAAGAAGTGAAATATTATTTCAAAAATATTCCTACAAAATATATTATATATATATGTGGTTGAACGAGATTGTAATAACAATATAATCTTTAGGTATAACTAAAATTCATTACGGGGGGTGAAAGACAAAACAATCGAAAGGAAAACGTTTTTGCGTGAGAATTGTAGACAGATTTTTTTCCACTAGCAGACAAGTAGGCATCGGTGTTGGTGGCATTATGTCAGACTACCTCCTCTTTCCTACACCCCTCTCTATTCAACCCCTCACTCATTCTCTTTCTCTTTCTCTTTCTCTTGTTCGTGAAACTGCGAGTCTGTTCAAACAGTGATAGCAGTAACCACCACCTCATCCGCTTGTGCTGCTACCCTCCGACCCTTTTCCTTTCTCACTCACTCACTCACTCATTCTCTCTCTCTCTCTCTCGCTCACTCTCTCGTTTCTCCGAGTACCTTTAGTATCACAGCTACTACTACTACTACTACTACTACTACTACTACTATTATTACTGTTCTTCGTTCGATCGATAATATACATATGCCTACATGTAAGGCACACGAGATTCACGTATAATACTTGTTCCTCTACGTGTCCTATAAAAATCGTTTAACCGTGTGGAAATACGTAAGAGTTGGGTACACGGTTAACTTCTGTGTGACTCGTTTAACTTGAGAAAAAAGAAAAGAAAAGAAAAAGAGAAAGAGAATAGATCAAAGCTATGTTCTTATGTTCATCAAGTGGGTAATATCCGGGAAAATGTCGATGAGGTTAACCCCTGCCCCTTCCACCATTTTTTTTTACAGGAGTAGTTTGGGGTAAGAAGTTTAAAGGTAAGAAAATTAAAAAGAACTTGGACATAAAAAAGAAGTAGAATTTAATTTAACTAACTTGGACGTTTCGTCCCTTTATTGGGACTTCTTCAGCAACTTAATCTTTATAGTTCAGTGTCTTTTTTCATTGGGTAGACATACATTTTTCTTTTTATTAATATTCCAAACACAAAACATCTAAACTTCGTGAAATATTCGCTCGTTATAATTTGAAACCCTCAACAAAACTGTTTCAATCTAGACTTTCAGTCTATGTATGTCTACCCAATGAAAAAAGACGCAGAACTGTAAAGATTAAGTTGCTGAAGAAGTCCCAATAAAGGGACGAAACGTCCAACTTAGTTAAATTAAGTTCTACTTCTTTTTTATGTCCAAGTTCCCTGTGATACCTTATCATTAAGAATTATAATTTTGGACGAGAGAAATAACTAATTAAATTAAGAAGAACGTGTTATCAAAAGAGAAAAGAAAGAAAATAATGGAACACACACGGTACACACGTATAAGAAAAATAAAAATGAAGTTCGTTTATACTCACAGACTCGATGTGCTTGTCTCAGATTAAAAGCGTCGCTACCATGAACGTAATGGTAAAGGGTCTTCTCCATAAGATCTTGCGGTGTGTAGCCTGTTAAATTTGTTGCGCTGTAATAAAGATATACAACTATGTTTATATATATACAAACAATGTATATATATATATGTGTGTGTGTGTCTATATATATATTTTTTTTTATCAAGTTTATCTATTTATGAGAGAGAAGGAGAGAAAAAAAGGGTGGTGGTGGGTGAAGAAGGGAGTGGAATGGGGAAAAAAGGAACACCTGAATCCACGAATGTTTTTCCTAGCGGTGCACCATTTTTTTATTTTCCCCATTTTTTCTTTTTTTTTTGTTCCTCTCGTCGTTGTGTTATCGAGTAAACAAAGAAAATGAAATCGTATAAAATTTCATTGCGATATACACCGTGGTGGAAGTCTATGGTTTCTACTTTGTCACGTGTGTTCGTTCCCAGTAGTTATGCGTAGAGGAGGATAGAAAGAGGAGACACGTAAATATGTATGCATGTGTATATGGATATGGATATGGGATAGGATAGGATAGGATAGTTTGTTCGTACGAAGTATTACAAGTTTGTTTTCTTTGCTACCGTTAAGAGATAAGTTAAAAACATCGTTGAATATAATATCAAGCGAGGGAATATTATATTTTGACTTTTGTTAAATGAATTTATTGCATGGAAATATAATTGAGTGTTCGATTAAATCAAACGAGAAATAAATTTGGATCGAGCATCGTTTGATATTAATTTCTTCTTTTTTTTTATTATAAATATAAATTATAGTGTTAATTACAAATAATAATAAAAAGGAAAAAAAAACATTATTTTCAAGTAAGGGTTACACAAATTAAATTTATTTCACATTGGTATGTTATTTTTTTGTTTATTTTATCGTAGGTACACAAAATATATTCTCATATGAAACAAAGAATAATAATTTGTAAAATTTAATCTGGACCCACTTTTCTCTCTTTCTCTCTCTTTCTCTCTCTCTCTCTCTCTGTATATATGGCATGCCAAGAAATAAAATAAGTGTCGCGTATCTCTACGCGTAAACCTCGGACGTTGGATATTTATTTTGCGTCGATAAAAAAGAACGAGAGAAAGAATTAAAAGAAAGAAAGAAAGGTCCTTGACTCTGAAGTAACACGAAACTAATTTTAATGGCTGGCACCGAGAGAGAGAGAAAGAGACAGAGAAAAAGGAGGACCTTGGTTCTCCCCCTTTTTTTTCTGTTTTTTTTTTTTATTTTATTTTCGTTTCTCTCAGTCCAAACACTAAGCTATTGAGGTAATCCAATACCAAACTGTAATTACATTGGAAATAAACAGTCTAATGGTAACTGTTTCTCTTTCCCTACGAAAATCCGAATGAATTTTAAACTATTAAACAAAAATGAATTTCTTTTTTCCTCTCCCCTCTCCTCCCCTTGCCCTACCCCTGCCAACCAATCAAAAGAATTTATATATCGTAAAAATAGAAATAGATATTATTGTTTATTCGTTGTAATAATATTATGGTGTGATCAAATGTTAATTCAAATATTTCACTCGCGTATGAAGTAATTTTATTGACTTTGAAAAAATAATAATAAAAAAAAGAAATTGCACGAACTGAGATTGAATACACGATAAACTTATGGTGAAATTTCGGTTCACCTGTTAAATAATATCAATTTATACTTACTTCGAATCGATAAATAACATTTTAAGATCCAACGACGCCCTGAACATGAACATATTGTTGTAAAGTTTGATTTCAGTAATGGCCGACGTCGGGAAGGAATGGCCGACGGCAAGAAGACAGATATTTCTGATACATCTACTAGTACCATCTTCAAATTCCGGACCGGTTGAACTTTCAATGATGCACTTGAGATAACCCGAACAGTGTATAACCTGAAAAAACAAAGAACAAAACAATAAAATAAAATAAAAGAAAGAAAGATTTTGTTCTGGTTGATCAAACTTACGTGCGAAAACGTATGACTATGACAATGACAATGATTATGATGATAATAATAATGATAATGATGATGATGATCGTGTATGCAAGTTACCCTCTTGAATATAGCATACTAATTAAAAGGTAAGCCAATTGCATATGTAAATCCTGTATAATAATAATCATCATCATCATCATCATCATCAAGTATTATTACGTACTATTTGACGAGCATACGAGTGAAACGAAATTAATGGTACGCAGTAGTAGAGATGGATGATATTAATTCAAAAAAATCGTTGATGATACTGTGCCAGGAGAGTACCATAAGGAGGAGGAGGAGGAGGAGGAGGAGGATCATCATCTTTCAATGGTCGAGAATTTATGAAGTACCAACGTAGGGAAAGTGCAGATTTTCGCGTTGAACAATATCCTCCTTCTCTCTCTCTCCTCTTGGCAAATTACCAATTCCTCCTACTAATTGAATGCTCGATGAAGATGAGTTAAAAAAAAAAAAAACAAGAAAAAAGAAAAAAGAAAAAAGGAAAGGAAAAAAGAAAAAGAAAAAGAAAAAAAAATAATTTTATCGAGCGTCAAACTCGGTTGTTGGTTGGTTTCCTCGTGTCTCGAGTAGGTGGTGTACATCACCCTGATACACATGCCGACGCAATTTGTGATGCAAATAGGGCTCGCTCGTTCATCACTCTGAATTTTTCCCTATATGTATATCCGACGGGTGTTGCATATGATTCCTTCCTATATGCTATGCAATTTTGGTGCATAGGAAGAGCATGTATACGAGCATGCTGCTAAGGACTTCTCTTCTTTCTCTATTACTGAGGGGGACTACGAGTTAATGGAGAATGAAGAGGAGAAAAACAGAGTGAGTGAGAGAGTGAGTGAGTGAGTGAGTGAGTGAGATAGAAAGAAAACAATTGAGTTTTGAGAAGGGTGAACGAACAAGTTCAATTTCGTTCAGAAAATCACATCCCTATAAAGATCTTGAAACGATACTCATTACGACAATGGCTTATACTACTCTCTCTGCCGAGGTGTCGGCAATCTTCAAACTCATTTGCAATTTATTATATAACTAAGGGAAAGATATAAATCATTAATTGAGTCTTTTTTAACTGACAAATGATTGTATATCTCAAATTTGTTGAATTTTGTCTAATTAATTATAGTTGAAGTACTTGTTATTTTTTATGAAATCGGGACAGATGATTGTCTTCTAAAAAAGTAAAAATAAAGACAAATAATATAGGGAAACTTTGTATGGCATAATAAGCTTAGTAACTTCATGTTTTATTATTTTTTTGTTAAATATGGAATAAGTGATGTATACGTCAGGTGCAACAGCATTCTGTTTGATTATCTTTTTCTTTTATTTTGATTTAATAAAGAGCAGTAACTTGTATCCCAGTTACGAAAATCAGTTTGTATAATATTTGTTTATAAGACTTATCAAGATAATTATTTATTAAAAATTGAAGGAAATTGAATTGAATTGTATTAATTAAAATGATAGTTGATTTGAATAAATCCTAGTAAGTGTTGATAATTAAAATACGAATGGCAATTTATTCATTGAAAAATATTTTTATCAAGATAATTATTTAGTAAAAATTGAAGGAAATTGAATTGAATTGTATTAATTAAAATGATAGTGTTGGTTTGAATAAATCTTAGATAATTGTTGGCCACGCAAATAGAATGCTTACCATTCTTGTACATAATGGGTTAGAAGCCAACTACCGGTTCTTTGTATGTCTCTAAGTGCCATAGAAAAAGCTACCCTCGTTTCCTGGCCCCTTCGAAGCCTGTCCTACAGCTTACAGGGGTCGCATTCATGACTTACCGAAGTCACAATGTTCTTTCTCTCTTTCTCTTTTACTTCAATATATGACTTTCTTGTATGAGAGAGAGGGAGAGAGAGGTAGAGAGGGAGGGAGGGAGAAGTGTCACGGTCACCATGATCGTTTAAGCACGAGAACGATCTATTTGGCAAACATTTTCTTTTTCGAGGACTTAACTGATTCATTTTTCGTCTCGTGCAACCAACAACCTTCCCTCCTCCAACTTTGATCATAGTTATTGTCATTGGAAACATATGTCATTGGAATCTTCGCGTTTCGATTATTGCTATACCTATTGAAACTTTTGGGGAGAGAATTAGTTGTTTCATCGTATTACATACGATTTATTACTGGTAAGTTATTTGATAAAAGGAGAATACTTCGATGATATTATATAAATAACGTATCTTTCGAATAAATCTATCGGTTATCATTTTTGTCGGTTAACAAACAAACTCGTTTTAAATATATATTTTTGTTAATTGATAATATTCGTAAAGAGGTATAATATAAAGTGTGTATTAATATTTGAATATAATATTTTTATTATTATTGTAACAAATATTTAAATGTGGTTTAAATGGTTAATAACAAAAAAATTGGAAAGAAGTAAAGATATGGATGATATTTTTGTAGGTATAGCAATTAATCACTTTGAGCTATATCAGTTATGTCGCGTATTGTAACTCGGCATCGATCAATTTCAGATTATTGTAATACTTTTGTTACTATAGTTTGGGAGAAATACGTTTGGCATCTGTCATTTCAAATTTAAGATAAATTTACCTGTAAAGTATTCATACGTTTTTCTTTTCTGTTCTTTTTTTTTTTTTCAAATCGTACGTGACTAGGACAATAACGTTACAACTCAGTTCCAACCAGTTTCATATCTCTTACACGGTGTATTATTCAATTTTTTTTATATAGATTTTACGATTTCCTTTGAATCAAGTTTATGCTAATGTTATGTTAAAATCATTCGACTATCTTTTGTTTGTTTCAATATTATACTCATTTATTGAGAAATATTATTTGTAAATAACTTATATCTCAACTTGCATCAAATGTTTTTTCTTTCTACTACGTATTGTCAACGATTAATGAAATAAATATGATGCTTTTATTAAAAAATTTCGTAAGATCGGTCAAAGAGGAAAGAAATAAAATGTTAAATTAAAAAGTATACAAATATTTTGTTGATTGTTTCGTACCTTGTATCCTTCGGTAACAAGACCTGCGCTTCTCTTCGCTAAGATGCACTTCATCCTTAAAAAGAAAATACGTTCTAGGTCGATTTCACCGCGCGAGTTTGGCGTTGGAAACATAAAATCAGTAAAATCGGCCGGATTTTGTGGTAGGTTCAATACCGAAAACATCTCTTCGTGATCGCTCTGACAAATATATTCGTATATATTGTTTCCCGTTAATTCAACCTGAAAAAAAAGAAATTAACGACAAAATGACAACGAGTTAATTGTATTTTTTTCCAAAAATATAAATAATAATATTAATAAATTTTGGATAAGGAAAAAAATCTTGATTATATTAACATAAATAATAGAACTCCTTTTGCATAATTTAATTATTAAACATATTTGCTTTTTAAGTATTTCAAAGTAATATGCCATTCATGAATTACGTAAATATATATTTAGAAAAAGGAAGAAAAAGAAACGTTATAAAAATTAGATCAAATAATTGTTATTTATACTAGCGTGTTGTTTGTTTCGATAATTATTTATATCCGATAAAAAATCAAACTTTTAATTAAGTAACATAATTAATTTCATCCTTTCATCAGTCCGGTATGGTCTAGTGGCTAGGATACCTGGCTTTCACCCAGGAGGCTCGGGTTCGATTCCCGGTACCGGAATTAACTTTTTTTTACGTTTCTTTTTTTTCGATTAATTTTTTTTTTTAAACTCCTTTCACATTACGTATCATATTTTAATTTTATTTAAATATTAACTTACTTTTTTTACAATGATTTATTACATAGATCAATTTTTATACAATTTATTATTATATCGTACGAATATCTACGAACTGTTTGTTCTCTGTTTTAATGTTAATAACATTGAAAGCAAAAAGAAGAAAAGAAGAAATCGTCAAATAATAATAATAATAATAATAATAATAATAAGTAAAAAAGTATTTTTCTATGTGTAACTTTACCGTATTGCCCTGTCATTAAAACAAATATTTCGAAAATCATAGGAAATGGTTAGTAAAAATCTAACCTGAGACATTCCTAGATGAACGCTGGCCGTTTCGCTAACGTAAACAATTTTTCCGTCAGGTGTCACGACGAATACAAAACCGTCGAGAGTCTAAAACAAACAAAAAAATGAATAAATATGAATTTACATAGTAAAAATTTGTAATAAAATATATATACACCGATAATATCTCATGTTAGATACTTACTTTCAAGAAAAGTGAGCCTAATTCTTTAATACCAGCTTCCAAAGGACTACTAGGAGGTGGTCTAGAACCCCAATCATCTCCCAAACCTAAACAATAAATTAAAATATTTATTTTGTCGCTATTTTTTCTTTTTCAGAACAACCGTAACCTCCTATATGATTTTGCATGAATAATATCAATATTATTCGAGTTTAGGGTATATTTTTGTATTTAAAATTTACTTCGTATTTTTAACTCTCTTTCATTTTTTTAAAGCAGCGTTTCTCATTTAAATCAACTTTGATGATCGAATATAATTTTATTTGCGTTTAACATTTTGTTGATTAGTAATATTATGCAAATATATTATCTCATGCCATACATCCATTATTTTTTGATTGAATATGAAAATTGTATTTTTCTTTTTTTAAGCACTAAACTTACCGACATTTTATGTATACCTATTTCTACCGTGAAAAGTCAAATGCATATATTTTCATATAGAATAAAATTTTAGCCAATTGAATAGTGAACAAATATAAATTTTATTTTATTTAGAAACGAATAATGTATATTTTATACATTTTTACCCCGATTTTCTTTTACAAATTACAGGACGCTGTCATTTGATCGGTCATGGGAAATAAAAATATATTGTACTACCCGTTAAAAATGTAATTCAATAAAATAACAAACATACAATTCATAGGTTGAGAAACGCTGATCTAGATTTTGGGCATAAGAAATATATTTGAGAATGATAAGGGATCTATTTTCTTACGTCATCACGAAAAATTCAATTTCTATTATGCGTTAAGCATCAAATCGAAACAATTTTTCTTATTCTTTTTCTATGTGGTCCTTAACAAAAAAAAAAAAGAAAAAACGACGACCACATCACAACCACCGAGTATGATAATATTCGATCAAGGTGAGAAAATGGGAACGATCTCAAAGTGTCTTCTATATATACGAAGGGGGGTATACTGTGTCGTTTTATCTTTTTTTTTCTTTTTTTTTTTTTTTATCGAAGAATAAAGCAAGCGTCTGTATTGTAGAGAGGGATGCAGCCACTTGAAATTCAATTCGCCGATGACAAGGAAGGAAGGAAAGAAAGATAGAATGAAGGAAAGATGGAAAGAATTTAACGTATAGTATACTAGTGGGTTGTGGGTTGTATGATGCAGCGTATGTGTTAGTGTAAAAAAAAGAAAAAAAGAGTCGGTGTAGAGACCATTGTAACGTTATAACAGCCCCCATACTTTGCTTACAAAGCAGTAGGGGCTAACAATGCATTAAGTGCGCAATCACATCCATCTCATCCGATATTATTTGCCCTTTACGTTGGTAGCTGTCCGGTAGGTGAATTAATAAAGAAAAGAATAGGTACAGAGAAGAGAGAGAGAGAGAGAGAGAGAGAGAGAGAGAGAGAGTTTCCTTTCGCAAAAAAGTAAGTCTCGTTTCTTTTTTTTAATATTAGAATGAAGTACAAGTTCACGCGTTTATTGTGTTGAAATTTAACTTTGAAAAACTGCGCGACGGATTGATTGATTTTGTTAAATTTACTTTGAAAATATTCATTTAAAAACGTACGAATTTTTGGTTCAGCCTAATAGTATGAACATCAAAGTTCGTCAGCTTATTTTTTCAGTCAGCAGTCTCTTCTTCGTTTTTTTTGTGTTTTTGATCGAATAGGAAAAGATCGATGAATAAAAAAAAGCAATTTTAAATATGATACTTACCATGAGGAAAGAGTGCTCTCATTTTGAGATTGCTAGTAGTTAACCTGATGATACTAGCTTTGTCCAATTGCGATGTAATCGTTGACGGCAGGGGTAAAAGTTTTCCAAGCTCGAGATATTCTTTATTTTCTTTTTCACGGCGCCATCGGGCCGCTGTCTTACTTTTTTCCTTCATCACGAGTTCCGGTAATTCGTTCGTTAAATTGTTGTTGCTACTGCTGCTGCTGCTACTACTGCTACTGCTGCTACTGCTGCTGCTGTTATTGTTGCTACTGCTGCTGCTGCTGTTATTGTTGCTGTTGTTGTTGCTGCTGCTGTTGTTGTTGCTGCTGCTGCTGCTGCTGCAACTGCTGTTGTCGTTGTCGTTGTCGTTGTTGTTGTTGTTGTTGTTGTTGTTGTTGTTGTTGGTCCGTTGATTATGATGATAAAGATGATTTTGATGATAATACTGATGAGTTTGTGGATGATGATAATAATGTTGAGAATTGTTCAGATCTTGGGTGGTATCCGATGTTAAACCAAAGTTTGCTGAAAACAATATCTTCGTATGTGTTCGAATTAAAACAAATATAATATTATCTAAATGAATGACTACGAAAATGAATGATTTGAACATTAATTCGTATGAAAGGAATAAAATGTTCAAACAATTGCTTGTTAATCCTTGCCAATTAATTTTCTCTCTATATATATATATATTGTTTTATTCGTTTTTTTTTGTGAGGGTGGAGGGCACATGAAGAGACTAGCATTGCTACGAATGTGTGTTTTTGTATGTGTATCTCCTGGACAACGAAATATTTGGAGTACTTTGCAGTACATTGCAGTGTACTTTGCAGTAGAAAATATATATATATATATATATATATATATATATTCACTATAGTTATATATTGTTGCATTCCGAAGGCGTAACAACGTCGAAACTCCTCGTTACAAGAAGTAAAGGCAAAGGGAGCAAGCAAACCCGTCATTAAAACGCCAGCGAGAGAGCAACCTAACGATGTAGCTACCTATCTAACAAGAATTCTCAGGAATGGAAATTTTTCTTGAATAATGCATCATTTTTCTTTTCCTTTCTCCATCCACCTCCTCCTCCTCCTCCTCCTTCTCGTCTTCCTGCTCTTCTGCCACATTCATTGTGCTCTATTCTTTTTTTTTACTTTTACTTTTTATTTTTTCTCTTACCTCTTTTTGTTTTTTTTTTTTTTTACACGTACACATCAAGAACGTATCGATATTAATTATAGATCATTTTTCTCGAATTCCATTAAAATACAATATATATATAAACAGATTTGATTCGAATAATACCTTCGCTCATTTTTTCCTTCTCTTTCCAATTTTCCACGTAATGATGATCACTTTCAACGCCGATGGTAGAATTATTGTTATTATTCTCGATCATTGGTGTTATGTTGTTATTAATAATATTATTATTATTATTATTATTATTACTATTATTATTACATTTTTCTTTTTCTTGATCTACCATCGCAACGGTTAATTATTTATTTTTTTCCTTATATCAAAATTAAGAAAACGAATTCGACGTAATACACTTTTCACTTTTTTTTTATCTTTTTCTTTATCTTTTTCTTTTTAAACAGAGCACACGTGTTTAAATTACTTCTCGTCACTTATTTCAACTCAGGTAGTTGGACGAAACCAATTGTTAACAATTGTTCAAAGATATCTATAATGAAAAAAAAAACAAATATAATACTAATAATAATAATAACAATAATAATAATAATAATAATTATAATAATATATATAAAGATACTAGAAAATAATCAGACGAAACGTACTCGGTGCTTGCAGCACGATGTTTGGGGAGTTAGACGAAACTTGTACATTTCTCACTCCCCCAGTATTTCTCTCCCTCTCTCTCCCCCTCTCTCTTTCTCTTTCTCTCTTTCTTCAATGTTATCTCCATCTCTTTCTCTCAGTCTCCACCCCAAGCCTTGAAATGCCGTTTGCGTTCGCGGGGTAGCTAAGCCAGAGAGGTAACACCCTTATTTTAAGCTCCACCCTTGGAAGTACAGAGTCACTCCAAATCGGAGGGTTTCCCACGCACACGCGCACAGAGACCAAAGAGAGATTGAGAGAGAGAGAAAGAGAGAACGAACAAGAGAAATACTTTTCATTGGGATATTCCCAAATAGGGGAAAAAAGGTAAAAACGCCATTGGATATTGTATACAAAGACAGGTAGAATAGATAGACGTTACTAAATTTTTATTTTTTCTTCACAAAACCCTTCCCAATTCCTTTCACCCCACTACCATTTTATTGTTAGTTTAGATTTTAGGTATTACATGTGAAGATATTTACTTGTATCGAATTTTAATGAAGATTCTTATTCGCCATATTGGATTAAATTTCGTTACTTGGGAATTCAAATCAAAAGTGGGGTTAGGTTATTTTTATTTGGCTCGGTCAGGATCAATGTTATTTATTTATCTTTTTATTTTTGTTGGTAAAAATCATCCCTCATGACGAAGAAATTTCATTAACATTCGTACCATGTTCTCTCTTACCATGTAAAGATATTTACTTGTATCAAATTTAACGAATCTTATTCGCCATATTAGATTAGATTTCGTAACTTGGATATTTAAATCAAAAGTAAGGTTAGATTATTTTTGTTGGGTTAGATCAGGATCGATGTTATCTATTTTCCTTTTTTTTCGTTTTCTGTTTTTAAATGATCATTCACGACGAGGAAATTTCATTAATACCACCCTTGCCATGTTTTCATCGTCAATCGATCGATCTCGAGATTGATTATCGAGAATCATATCGATGAACTTGTTTTTTTATTCTCATTGCAACGAAATAATATAGAGACCAATTATTGGAACGATGAACATTTGTTTTATTATTTAAAAGTCTCGTAATTAAATAGAAGAACCTTGTTTTATTTACCAATCGTAGGGTGTTTACCACTCCCGGTGATATTCGGGAGAAAACGTGATTCGAGAAAGAACACCTTAGGAAAAATCTCACAATTCACAATGGTTTCGAGCATGTGTCGAACACATTTCTGGCTAAGGAACAGAGAGAGAGAGAGAGAAAACAAAGAATCGAACAAAATCTGGCTAACTATTTACAGGTGGCCAATTGTTTTCTTAGATTTCGAAAAGAATGAAACGATTGTCCTTTTTCTTATTCTCCGTCGTTGTTTTTCACGTATTTGATATACTCCATTCTAATCTTCGAAGTTGGAAGAATCGCTTGATTGTTAGAAGAAAAAATAGACAATAAAAGGTCTAATTCGAAACATGTGTTTCTTTTGTTTCTTCTATTTTCTTTTCTTCTTCTTCTTCTTCTTTTTTACTATAGATAGAAATAAAATTTCTTTGTTTTTTTTTTATAATAGGTAAAATATTTTCCTTTCCTTCGGATTTCTAAAAACACCTACAATCGTTTTCCCCATTTTCTTAATTCAATCTTTTACAGATGTTCAAGGTATAGTCGCTATATCCAGGTATTAATCGGTTTAAGTTATTTCCAAATTCTTAGACAACTTGTGGACTGGATAGAATCTCGAACTTAAGGTCTATAATATATTTCGAATATTTAATCGTACTATTTATAATAAACGAAGAGATTATTAAAAAAAAATAGAAACGGGAAATAAAACGGAAGGAAAAATACGAAGAAAAATAATCTGGAAAAGAAGAAATGTAAATAATTGTTGTTTATCATATATATA